ATTAGCCCTTTGTCAGATGAGTAGATTGCAAAAATTTTCTCCCATTCTGTAGGTTGCCTGTTCACTCTGATGGTAGTTTCTTTTGCTGTGCAGAAGTTTGGTCAGATGAGGAAATTTCAGAAAGAGGCTCTTCCTGGGCTTGGGGGTGAGAGACAAAATTAGAGGGACCTTCATTCTGAGGCAAATTCTAAGACTTCTCAGCATGACAAAGCACCAGTCTTTGGTGTATCTGAGCCCCAACAAAATAAACTGATTTGTGTATGAAGAGTGGAGCTTACAGCTCAGACAGAAAATGAATCCTTATTGACTCAATTTTCAACTTCATCTGGATTACCAGATGCACAGTGTGAAAATAAGTCATTTACCAGTCTGAGCAACATAGCAAGAGCCCGTCTCTATAAAAAGTGTAAAAAATTAGCTGGGCATGGTAGTGAGCATCTGTTGTCCTAGCCACTCTGCAGCCTGAGATGGGAGGATCACTTGAGGTTACAGTGAGCTGTGATCATGATCAGGTCACCACACTCCAATCTGGCTACAGAGTGAGACCTTGTCTCTAAATATATATATATATAATATATAGCATATACGTATAAATATATATAATAGAGCATATATATAGCATATAAAATATATAGATATATATGAAATAAGTTATTTGTATTCAAAGCATCAAATAAAATTTTGTTTTAATTTTCTAAAAATTTACAAGTAACATATATAGGTATGCTGTTTTTCTTCTTATATGTGACTACATTACTTTAGGGGCTCCAAAATATCATTTACTAACGCTAGTAATTGTGCATTGTCACATTTTGTCCAATTTTGTCCAAACTTTAATCAAGTGCCTAAGAATTTAAAATTACCTCAATTACCTCAAATTTTCCAAACTTTAATCAAATGCCTAAGAATTTAATATTACCTCAATTTTGTAGAAGCAAATCACAGCTTATCATTTTAGATGTTTTACTTACTTATGAGTTTTCCCACCTTACTGTTGTTTCTGGCCTGCCTGTGGCAGCATTGCCATTCACTGGAACCTGCTTCCATAGGAGGAGCATCCTGATGTGTTTAGGAATACTATTCAGATCATTCCCCATTGGAGTTGTCTATTCTGTTTCTCCCTCTCATCCCTATAATGAATGCATACATTCTTTCTGTTTGTTTGGTAATTATTGGGTCATTTAAAATGAAGACCATGAAATGAGAACAGAACCACTGACCGAAATGTACAATTTTTTAAACGTACTGTGAGGAAGAAAGTTCCAGAACCTAAGCGCAGAGTATGTTACTAATCCAGAGAGAAAGTATATTTAAGAACAACCAGAGTGGTCAGGAAGTCAATTTCTTTTATCTTTTTTTTAAATTTTTTTTTTAATAGAGACAGGGTCTTGCTTTGTTGCCCAGACTGGTCTCGAACTCCTGGGCTCAAGCAATCTTCCCTCTTCAGCCTCCCAAAGGGATCAGTTTCTGAAGTAAGATGATGAGTGTGTTGATTTCTTGAGCATTGTCTTAATACGCTACAGCTACCAGGCCAGGCGCGGTGGCTCACGCCTGTAATCCCAGCACTCTGGGAGGCTGAGGCAGGTGGATCACGAGGTCAGGAGATCGAGACCATCCTGGCTAACATGGTGAAGCCCCGTCTCTACTAAAAATACAAACAAAAAAAAATTAGCCAGGCGTGGTGGCGGGTGCCTGTAGTCCCAACTACTCGGGACGCTGAGGCAGGAGAATGGTGTGAACCCGGGAGGTGGAGCTGGCAGTGAGCCAAGACCACGCCACTGCATGCCAGCCTGGGCAACAGAGTGAGACTCCGTCTCAAAACAAACACACAAACAAACAAAAAATATGCTACAGCTACCATAACAAAGTACCATAGACTGGGTGGCTTAAGCAACAGAAGTTGACGTTCTGGAGGCTGTAATTTCAAGGGAATGTTTAGCAGGGTTGTATTCTTCGTGACCTCTCTACACGGCTGGCAGATGGCCACCTTCTCTCTGTGCTCTCACCTGCTCCTTCCCCTGTGCTCACATATCCCCGGTTCTCTCATCCAAGCATTCTATTCTTATAGGGACACCAGGCAGACTGGGTTTGGCCCGCCCTAATGACCTCATTTACCTTAATCACCTCCTTGAAGGCCCTATGTCCAAACAGTCATGTTCTGAGACACTGTGGGTTAGGGCTTTGCAGGGGAGAAAAATAATACCTTTCCTCCATCTGTTGCAAGGTTCATGGCTGAGTCCCCATAACAAAATCCAGATCAACAAAAGAACAGTATACAGATGCATTTTTTTTTTGAGATGGAGTCTTGCTGTGTTGCCCAGGCTGGAGTGCAGTGGTGGGATCTCTGCTAACCACAACCTCTGTGTCCCGGGTTCAAATGATTCTGTTGCCTCAGTCTCCCGAGTAGCTGGGACTATAGGCACCCACCACCACGCTCAGCTAATTTGTGTATTTTTAGTAGAGATGGGGTTTCGCCATGTTGGCCAGGCTGGTCTCATACTCCTGACTTCAGGTGATCTGCCCTCCTCAGCCTCCTAGAGTGCTGGGATTACAGGCATGAGCCACTGCACCCAGCCACAAATGCATTTAATGTAAGTTTTATGTGACTCAGGAGACTGGAAATGAAAACTCTTAACATCTAGGGAGAACTGCATTTTTATGGACAGTCATGCAGAAGTATGATTGAAGGACAAAAGGGTATGATCTAATGGAAATACACTGGGAGGAACTTACCAAGGTCTGACTGTTCAGGTTCTTCTTGGCCTCCAGGTTTGACATTCCTTCCCTTTGGTCATAGGGCAGAATACCTGTCACATGAGGGTCTTCAGGAGAGAAGAGGTGGGAGCAGGTCATTCAAACCTTTCTCCCTCTGGAGTCTTCTGTCTCCTCCAGCTTAAAATCCTCAGTGTGCCAGGGTGCCATATATTGGGGAAGTATTTCCTGTACCCCAGTAGCTTCAATGTATAACTGTTAGCCACAACAAGCATGAATAGAGATTTCAAGCTACAGAAGGAAGCAAAGGACTACCGAGAGGTAAAGATGTCCAAAGGTAACTCTGGTGAAAAGAATGAACTCCTTGTACAGCTGTGAGTGGGAGTCTGGGCAAACGATAAGTCTGAGCCTACCTGTAGGCGGGACTCTTTAACCATTTTATATTTATGCAGAACGAGTAAATGGAAAACTCCCGTGGAAAA